AAAGTAACTAAAGGTAATAAATAAATGTAGTGGAGTAAAAGTATTAACTCTGAACTGTGGAGTAAAAGTACAAAGACTGGACTTCCAAACCTAAAACCTGAGAGATTGCCATCCCTAGTTATTACTACTCATTATTTTTTTAAGTAACCAATAAGCTCAACTGCAACTTGTTTATTATCTGACACAGCTAGCATGTGTCCGTCTTATATGGCGCATTTCCACTACAGCGCGGTTTAAGCGTGCCGTGCCCGGCCCATTTTTGGTTGCATTTCCACTAGGCCTAGTTCCGGCTAGCTAGCGGGTACTATTTCACAGTTTTTCTGGCTCTCCAAAATCGAGGTTCTTTCCGGGCCAACAACCGGGCTGAGTATGCTAAACTAGTGAGAGAATCGCTGGCAACTACAACAAAATGAAAATATTTGACCGTGATTTAATTGTAATACACGTTTCAAAATGATGCCGAAGTAACAACATACTGATACCGGTTAGTAAAAACCATGAATTAAGGCTTTGACAAGTCTGCAGACAGACGGCAGGCGAAACACCTTTTAAAATGCGTGTTTTCTGAATGGAGATCGGCTAAGCTAACGCAGTATATGCTCCGACCGTCCACACTCACAACAACGGCCTATACAGACTTAAATAAACCAGCGTCTGTACTCGCCATGACACAGACAGTCTGTGGTTTGTACTTGTTTAACTTCTTTCTAGTTTCTGAACAGATATGAGGAGCTGTGAGCTCTGAGGGCTAACAGCTAACGGCTGATGTTGGTTTTGTGTTTCGCATTGAAGATGACGTCACGGCTCCACCTACACTGCGTTACTATAGTTACTGCCCCAGTTCCTAAACTGTAATGGAAACGCAGCATAAAGTGAGCCTAACAAGCCCCAACGAGGCCTAGCCATACCGTACTAAGCCGAGCGAGGCCCTGCAGTGGAAAAGCGCCATAAGTGAGTTTGAAGATAAAGTACCGATTGTTGCAGAGATGATGAGGTAAGATATGGTGGTCCAGAATATTGCTGTCAGTGTTCCTTTGGGAATGGCCTCTGTTGGATTCTAGGAAGGCCAGAACAAATAACAAGTACATACGTTTGAAATTGCCACACACGTATTAAGAGTTGTCTCTATGTACATACAGGAACAGGTTAATGTGTGAGGCAAGCAGTCAGATTTATATACCACTGAAAACAACAGACAGAAACAAAGGTACATACCTTCAGATCTCCAGAAATGTTAGCTCCCGCCAGGATGCCAGTGGCAGAGGGGAAGAAAATGGAGAACATGCCGAAGAAGCTGCCCTCTGGTCCCTGCCACCTGGGCACAAAGTTTTCGACAAAGATATCCGCTGTAGAGAGGACATTTTCCGTTTAATGAACAGCTGACAGTGAGACACTGATGATTGGTTATCCTTGCACTGTGTAAAAACAACCATGCACAACCTACTTCACTCCTAGCCTACTACTATATTAAAACAGTAAACTGAAAACAGTCATACAACAACAGTCACCTTTGTAGCTGAAGAAACCCTTAGCTTGTTTTTCTGGTGTAGCAGGGATAATCGTTCCAACAATGTAATCTGCCAATGACACCATGATGACCAGGAAGAACAGAACCTGGGCCTATGGAAGGCATAATAAACAGTAAACACATGGACACAGACAAACATGCCAGAACGGGCTAATGTCACTTACTATACTAATACATCAACATTTTTTTTTTTCATGCTAACTACTTAGCATGCTTAATACAAACACAATGAACTTTGAGGTTGCTCACTGCCTTTATGCTAACTTAAACTTATTGACTGGCTGCTCTATATGTCAATAAATCAGATCGGTTTCAATAGTTTCATCTAACTCTTTGTGAGGAATAGAATGGTATGAGAATTAAATCAGTCACTTCTCTATCATCAAAGGTCACCTATTATGCAAGATTCAGCAGGATCTCTACAGGAGGGACTTAAGGATGAGTAAAGTTGTTATATATGTAAAGCTATGTGCTGTATCAGAAACAATGTGCGATGTGTTTTGTAAGTAATATGGTCTGTGTTTACGTAAGCAAGCATCGCTAACACTCAGAGCTAATCACGGCAGCGTTTATCTGAGTTTCTGCTGGTAGACAGCCTTCTCTTCACAGAGCTCACTGCTTGCATGCGGACGCTCCAAAGGGGCGTGGCTGGATTGGACCCTGCCACTTGCGTGGTGCAGCGCCCCAGTCTATACGGCGCTGGCGTGGTGGAGTCACAAACGTTGTTACATTTACGTGTCTGTGTCGGTACCATATGTGTTCGGGTACCATATGTGTTCGGGGTCCGTCTCTTACCAATGACGTCACGACGTCAATGACGTCACGCCCACCAATTTCTCCGCAGGCTAGGCAGTCAAGAATATTCTAATTAGCTTCGGCTTGATGTGGAGATGTGATTTGATGTGTCGTTTGTCCCCCAACTCCTCTCCAAAGTTGAGATATGTAATACAATACTGAGGGGAGTTTCCTGAATGTTCATGCCCAAAGCCAAGCACTAGGCCCTGGGTAAATTAAGAGGCTGATCTGGGGCACTTTTGTCCACTTTCCCTGTTGCTAGAAACTCGAGTCAGGCATCCCTGGAATCGTCTCAGAGAGTAGATGATCAGTGGGGCCTTGTTTTTACTGAAACATGATGTTTCGATGTATATTTCCATTGAAAATGCTAACCGCTAGCCGCAAAGCTAGCATCGCAGCCACTGCTCCGTTTTCAGAGACTTTGCACACGTTTTTCACAAACATTTTACATTGTTTTTGTTACTTTCTGTTGCAGTGTCTTAAATGTAATTTAGGTTAACTTCCTGTTTGAAGTTGTTGCTATGGAAACAACATGACGGAGAAAAAAGCAATATCTTCTACATATAATAACGGACAAAGTAAAGAATGAAGTGTAGGCTATGTTTAAATGTTCGTAATTTGACCGTGTATGATGGTCCTCTTGAGTTGCCGTACAGCTAATGCTGTATAGCCACTGCTCCGTTTTAGGAGACTTTGCACACGTTTTTCACACGCTAGGAGTATGGGAGTACTTCCATTCGCTTCGTCTTGATCTGTAGATGTGATTTGCCCCCGAGCACCCCTGGGTAAATTACCGTACAGCCAATCACAATGCGTGACGTCATTGGTAAGAGACGGACCCCGAACACATATGGCACCCCGAACACATATGGTACCGACACCGGTAGGGTATGACGCCGGAGGAGGCCGGACCAAAACCACGGCGCAGCCGTAACGCGCCGCAGACGGACCCGGTGGAATCTAGGGGTTAGCCTTAAATCTAAGCAATCTATAAATAAGAACATAATCTATCTAACAACATTTTTTCCAGGACTTTGGATAACACACTAGCAGGGGTCACCAACCTTTTTGTCACCGAGGGCTACTTCAAGGGTACTGAGTAATACGAAGGGCTACTTGTTTGATACAAACTTCCTGAATAACATAATTGCACGGTTCACCTTTAATGATAATATTATTATTAATAATAACAATAATCAGAATACATATTAATTTAATGTATGTGAAGGACTGTCTGATCACATGTTAATGTTAATTATTCCTCACAATAATTATTAACA